CCATGGAATTTTTTTCTTTTTCCTTCTCTTTTCTCTATATTGTTAGTATAGGAGAAAAGTACAGAAACATATACTGAGGAAAGTTTATAGTACAATTTCTTTGATGATTTTCTTGCAGAAATTAATGTGCCACCTTTACAGCTGAATTTAGCATTTATTGTTCCAAGATTTGACATGTCTGTTCGTGGGAAACAGGTTCATGTCTGACATGGAGAGTACATTTCACAAGGCTGTGTGGAGTTTACGATCTCGTTCTTTGAAGGAGCTTTATTGTACATGGAAAGCTTAAAGCATCTACATCTGTGATAAATAGATGTATTTTCTACTTGGTCTTGTCTATGATTCTTTATTTTAAATGCAATAGATTGGATTCTGTTTGTAATTTAATTTAGTTTCACTTTTGAGACCAGAGAAAGTTCGGGATAATATTTCCCCATTAGTTGCTTTTTCCCATTTCATTTCATGAAATATGCAGTGAATGTATATGTGAATGTGATGATTGCCAAGTGCTTAACAAGGTTTTTCTTATATACATACCATTCTCTTTTGAGGTAAGTAAAATAATTCAAAGAGCAGAAAGAAATGAGAAATGGTGAGAAAAAATTAATAATAATAATAATAATAATAATTGGAAGGGACCTTGGAGGTCATCGAGTCCAACCACCTGCTCAGGCAGGAACCCTACACCATTTCGGACAAATGGCTGTCCCATCTCTTCGTAAAAACTTCCAGTGTTGGAGCATTCACCGCTTCTGGAGGCAGGTTGTTCCACTGGTTAATTGTTCTAATTGTCAGGAAGTTTCTCCTTAGTTCTAAGTTGCTTCTCTCCTTGATCAGTTTCCATCCGTTGCTTCTTCTCCTGCCTTCAGGCGCCTTGGAGAATAGCTTGACTCCCTCTTCTTTGTGGCAGCTCCTGAGATATTGGAACACTGCTATCATATCCCCCTCGTCCTTCTCTTCGTTAAACTAGACATACCCAATTCCAGCAACCGTTCCTTAAAGAAACCCTCAGTCCAGACTAGTTTACATCAGGACTATGCACAATACTTTTCATATCTTATTTTCCTTGAAAACCATCTTTGTTTCCACCTCCTCTATAGTTTCATACATTGCCTTTTCCTCTTTAAACTTCTTGAGACTCTGAGGATTTCATCTTCTCCTTACTAAGACTTTGAGGTGTGGCATTTCAGTGGCTTAATGAGGCTGGGGATTATTTCTGCTTGGCAGTTTGAACTGTAGCACTGTATGGCAGGATGAGCTTCCATCACTTGCCTCAGCTTCTACCCACCTTGTAATTTTAAAGCACATTCTATGTGAGTAGATAAATAGGTACCAGTTTGGTGGGGAGACGAGTTGATAGGTCATTCAATTATTCCTGAATCTTCTGGTTGCAATACCCATTTGCGAGGCAACTGCAGTGGAGGGAGGAGGGACTTGGATGACACTGCAGGAAGAGCCATTCTCCCCCCCCCAAAGCAAAGTTAGCTCACCCTCCTGTGGTGCACAGTGGGAAGCATACAAGCATGTACCTAACTGCTGGTAAACCGGCAGCCAAACTACTACTCTACAATAGCATTGTAGTATCCTGGCTAATGTTCTTTCATATTGGTCACTCACTTTTGTACTCAGTCCACATTCAGTTTTTATTTATTCTTTATCCTTTTCTGTTTTTATCACATCTGTTTCTTACATAATGCTTTCCTATTGCATTCAGCTTTTATATTTTTTTTTTAATGTAGCCAATTTTCTTCCATGTAACAAAGTAGCCAGGAGCATGACACAACCTACATCCCAAAATTACTCCACTTTTCCATCTTTAAAAAACATTTTATCAAGATATATAAAATAATTTACCTGCTGTAATTTTCCACATATCTTAAAATTTTTCACTTGTTTCATATCCCTTCCCAAACTCTCTCATATATTAATATTCAGACGTGTGCCTGTTGTTGCATCATATCATCTAATATTTGCTGCAAATCATTTTGAGTTCTCAGCCAGGTACATATGCTATTCACAGTGCTAATTAACCTATCTTCAACATTACCACAAAGGCTCCTATTAATATATTCATAAATTGAATAAACAAGGAAGTATTTTTTTCTTCTTTCTTACATCCTCCATTGCATTTAAAAGATTTATTAATGTCACTACCAAAGTACTCAGCGTGATTTATATATGTTTTACCTCTATCCTATATTTCTATTATAGTATTCAGAGAACAAATGTTAATTTCATACTGTTGCAAAACATTCCATATTTGAAGCCTATTCATTTATCACACTCTCTAAATCAAACATGCAGTAAATGTTCCCACATTCATGTATTTCTCAATATGTGCTGATGAACAAAAACTCTGGTCTGCACACCCTCTTATTACAATAAAACTTCACTTCAACTTACAAATTTTGTTTCTTTTTTGGTTTTAAACAAAACTTTGCCAAACACTACCTTCCCAAGCACAGAAAATAAATTTTCCTGTAATTTTTGTATTCATTTTTGAAATCTATATGTGGAAAATAATCACATTCCTCTAATTAAGGTCAGATATAGTCTTTACACATTAAATTTCAGAACCACTTCAAAAGCAAACCACATTCTGCATTCTTTCTTATCCAAGGTATAAATATTTTTTTCTAATGTGTGACCTTTGTTTCCATTTATATGTTAATCCAAATGTTATGTGCAAAGCCACCTTCCTCATTGAAGTCTCTCAACCTTTATATTTCCTGTTTATTTCATTTCAACAGGTTGCTTCAAGTGGAGTCTACAGAATCTTGTTACACTATTTAAGGAAATAACTATCAAATAATGATCTTTAAGAGATTTCATTGATCAAATTATTTTCTGTTATAGAGGGTGAATAAGAACTATATCAGTAGTACTTTAATATTTAATCATAATAGTCAAAAGTGAAATTAATTGTATTCTGCTTTTTAGCTATGGCCCAAACTAATTTGTTCCTCTTTGAAACTGTCTAAACTATTGTTTAATCAAAATTGATAAAGCACGATTTACCAAATAAGGATTGAATATGGAAAGAAGGAAATCATGTTATATAATTTAAAAGCAGGAAAATTGTTTCAAGCATAATTGCTGTGAAGAAAGTTAGTCATTTTAGGTCTTTTTAGTTTTTGTTTTGGTAAGGTTATTTTTTTAGTATTCTTTCAAGCCAAGATTGCAGAAATTATTTATTTATGTGTTAAATTTTATTTGCTGTCTATCACGCTATGGCTACTCTATACGGCTTCTGAGAATTTTCTCTAATGTATTGCAGTTATTTAATTGTTTTCTTTATTCCTTCTCTCTTATATTCTCATCTGCCAATGTATTTATTATAAAAAGTTATTTGCTGCTTCACTGTTAGGAGTCAATAATGAGTAGTTCAAATTCAAAAACAGTAATAATGTAAAATCATAACAACATGAATCAGCTAGATTAATCTTATCCTCACTTCAGTCTCCAAATACACAGTAAAGCATAGTGTATTTAAAATTTTCTTGCATGCTAGAAGCAAGGGTACAGTTCTTTTATTTGGTGGAAGGGTATTCCACAGAAAGAAAACTTTATTTCTTTAATTTAGGTTCAACATGGATGACCTATAATCTTCCATTTCAAAATGGATCCTAATATTCTTCCTTGGCTTTGCAGGCTTGCATATAAGAATTGGGCAGTATCTGACAAGCTATAAGCTTCTCACTACTAAACTAAATGCTAACTACCTGGAATAGAATCATGACCTCAGTACAGACCAAAATGTCAAAATATGCAACCATGCATACGTCAGCCTTTCTTGTGTGCCCAGAGGAACGTACAAATTACTTCATTTAATAGCTCAAGTATGGAAAGAATGCTATTAATAACAAGGAAATTAAAGATTAATATGTATGTTTAATTCAGACAAAAATGCAAATAGATGTATTGGTCCATTGGAAAATAAATTCCAAAGAAATTAATACTGCTTTTGAATCACCACAACATTTTTACAAGCAGAATTTTAAGTTTGAGAAGGACCAATTAGTAATATTTCTTCTTGCACCTTTAATATTTAGCACTAGTATCATTTTTGTTGATCTTTTTAGCATTTCACATATAATATGTATTGACATTCTAGAAAAAATAATACTGAGTTGATTTGTGCAACCGTTTTGAAAGCCATATGTATGTTTCCACCAAAATTTATATTTCTAGATTGTTCACATAAAATTGGATTGCAAGATTATTGGTACTATAAACAATATAAAATGTAAAATATATAAATATGTAAAATATTCAAAATCTTAATTCAAAATGTTGCCTAGCAATTGGATTTTTGAAATAAGTCCAATCGGTAAAAGGCTTTTCTAAATGACCACTCCTGTTCAGAAATCCCATCTGGATTTGGATTGCAACCTTTTCTCTTTAGGTCCTTTGTGTTTCAATCTGTTCTGCACCAAACAACAGAAAGTTGTATTTCATACAAGCAGCATGATGCACTGTGGCATGGGTGTCAAACTCACCATGTGATGTGTCGCAATGTATTGCGACTTTTTTGCATTGCTGGGCTGGGCGCAGCCTCCATATGATGCAACTGGCCTGCGGGCCAGCAGTTTGACACCCTTCCACTATGGTAAAATCAGCATGGTCAGCTTTTAAATAGGAGCATTAAAAAGTTATGCCTGACTAAGTCTCCAGTTGCAAAAATAACTAAATATATAAACTCTGCATGTTTAAATTCAGAAAAAAGCATTAAACAAGAAAGCAAATGGGACTGTGTCAGTATTCATCAAAATAAATTATGCGTGTTCTAAATGGAAGAAGTATTTTATGCTTTCAATACCCCATCTGCAAACAATAACTGCAATGTTAGTTTTTCAGATGGATTCTTAGTATAGCTTAACACAACCAAATGAATTTAGCTAACATTACTTTATAAATGTAAAGATTAACAGTAATGGTTACATATAATGCACAACAGAAAGATTTAATAGTTGTGCAAAGGGATGTGTGTGTGTGTGTGTTTATATAGTCTGTTGTACCAATGGGTCCGAAATTGTTCATTCCAGTTCAGAATACAGTAGGTGGTACACAACTTTACTACATGAACTCTGTGCTGAAATTTCAGCTGATGCTCTTGGTTGCCATGCCAGAACTATGAATGATGTAAGTGGGAGCTTATTTTTCGAGCTAATGATTGACTTATGCTTTTGACAGAACTTCAAACAGTTTTTATGTTTGCTTTGGGATTTTGCACCTGCTTTCTCCTGCAATATATTTTTAGCCAAGTTTAGAGATCTCTGGATGTAGCTGATTCTAACTGCATCATTTCATCTTGGATCACACTCCGATGCTTGCATAAAGCCGTGCTAAATCTTAATTCTATTTTCAAGACGGGTGTTACTGTGCCTACAGTGATAGAAAATGAAGAATCCCCCCAATTATTACTTGGGTACTTTTAAGCAAGCCAGTTAAGGGATATGGAAGAGCACTAGTAAGCAACCTTCTCCTGATCCCATGACTATTGTACCAGGAAAAGTGGAAATTAAACCAGCACAGAGAGAGAGTATATAAAGAACGAACAGATGTGACATCTCTTAAGATTTGTTAAATTGCTGGATAATCCGATCGAATCTGGAGGCTTTGGCTTCTATTGTAGTTGTAAAGATTAGCAATAATTGGTTAGCTAGAACAATCTTTGGGGGCTGAGAACTCCTTCCTTCTTCCATTGATGAGGCCTTTCTTTGTACATTCGCCCACAATTCCGTTTGCGCTGCAGAGTTAAAACACCGTAATCGCTTAGGACCCTATTTTGTATGAAATGGGGCCGGAAAGCAATGAAAGAGGCGGGCGCTTCATTTTGGAAAAGCGAAGGGTTCTCTAAGAGCAGCTCGAGAATTGTGTGGCGGCGACGCTGGGGGTGTCTTTTATTTTAGCCTGCCCAGGGACCTATAGCTGACTGAAAGGACCCAATTGGTACCTCCCTCTGCTCTCCTTGGATATTTGGTACGTTCCTCCTCTGAGCGCCAGAAGAGAGACAGACGAGCGAAGCCGGCGTCTTCAGTGCGAGCGTCGCTTTTGTGTTAAGGTGCGGGGCGGGTGGCTTTCGTTGTCCATCTAGCGGGAAGGCTTTCGTGCAACGGAGCGGCGACCGAGAATTATGGAGTACTCGATGCAGGGAGAAGTATGGAAAGTGCAGACCTTGAAGGAGCTGATCGAGATCCTACATCACTTGTTTGCGAGCGATAAAGTCAATGTGGCCGAAGTGCAAACTTTAATGGAATCTTACGAGAGCAGCCCAGACGAGTGGACCAAATATGCCCAGTTTGACCAATTCAGGTAAACGTGGGGAAACCAGGGAGAGGAAATTAATGCCTGCTACGCCGAGTTATAGCCTCGGAGCTTTAGTTGCTAGTGAATGCAGAGAAAGAAATGCATGTGGTGTGCAACCCTTAGATGAAAAACCATTCTCTTCCGTTGCCCCCTCCCAATTTAAGGTGTGCCCAACTCTGCTACGCGAATCACGTTACACGTATCTAATTTGCAGCTTTCATAAAAATATGCATAATTCATCCCTGATGGATAATGTTTTGATGCCAACATGGTTCCCTTGGTTGCAAATGAAATTAAGTGGGATTTTTTTTAAAAAAAAGAGAGAGAGAAAAGCTCTAACTTGGAGCGAGGGTGAGCCACGCAATCCGGCGCTGGTTGGTAATTTAGAAATGAATGGGGTATCTTAGAAACAGCTGGGGAGAGCTGCTTTGGCAAAACTCCCAGACTGTCTAGCCCAGACTTACTTGCAGTGTGACCCTTTTTATGCTGCAGGACGTCCTTGGTTCTCATTCGAACTGCCGGTTCGGGGAATTAAGGTGGCACCTGGACTAACCAATCTTTGTGTCCAAGAAGGTCATACTAGTTTTATCCTGCCTTTGCAGCTGATATGTTAGAATTTGCATTACCTGTTCAATTTTTCTACCATTTTGTGCATCTGATTACTAGGTGTGAAATTAAGTTGATCGTCTGGTTTTCATTTTTCAAGATTTTCCAAGAATTTCTTCATTTTTTTATACTGAATCTTGAGGAATGCATCTGAAAGGGATTTTGGAGCAATACAACCCTGTCTGTTGCAGAATATAATTTAAAAGAACCGCTGCCTGTCTTGCAGAGATGTAGAGGAGTCACTCTGTAATGTGATGGCTGTCAAATGCAGTTGAAAATCACATTACACAGAATGGCAACTTACAATACAGTCTTGTATTTCCCATGTAATGCTGCAAAGTTGTTATACTTGATTCTGATGCTGGTTTGATTCATAATCCATAGGATGGACTTATAAATTGCATTCACAAACCTCCTAACAACATTAGCATGTAGTATGAACCGAGCCTGTATGGTTAGTTTTTAGCTGTGTGTCTTTTAAATCCAGAAGCTTCATATGAACACATCCAGTTACTATTGGCCCAATTTGTGTGTTCTTTTAGTAGTTACTGTCATATTGATGGGGTCCTGTATAACTGCAACAGGTATTGGATTCTCTTTCCATGTGGGAATGAGATCAAAGGATTAGATATCATCACTCAGTAGAGCTATTTGACATGTGCAGGTTGATTTTAAACAAAAGAGAACTTTGTCCCTTTGACCTTAAGGAACCAAAAGCTAAGTAAACTGCAGCACAGTTGTAATATCTGAATGATCATGCACATTTGTGAATAGCCACTCTAATAAAATAGTTGTTACTACCCATCATTTATGCAGTTCACTCCCCTTGAACCTTATGGTTATCACCTACCATCTTTCATTTCCACAGTCGTATGTGCAAACATATTTTCTGCCTCAACAGAAACTTCATGTGTATGGTTAATTTGGTTTTAGTCTAGCAAATCAAATACGTTGTTATTCTTTAGCATTATGATATTCTTTGTGGTTTATGTCACAACTGTCCAACAAACATATTTCTCTGAGAGAGAATAAGAAATATTAGAGGGAAAAAATAACCTGCATTCAGTGATGTTGAGTGTAGCAACATATATCACATTGATTCCTGCATTATGATAAGTAGGTAAATACTTAATGCAGACCCAACTCTCCGAGCTTGTAGTAGTTTGTGAAGTAATTCTTTAAAGCTGCATCTTTCAATTAGTAGCATATCCCCACTGCCGATTTGAGTGAATCAGTTGTTGTTTATCCTTGCATATAGCCTTCTTGAATCTGATATTGGCCATAGTGCTTGGAAATACTGCTAATCACAGCCAAGAGAAAGCACCAGGTCAGATATGCTGCCTTAACCATTAAGTTATCCTTCCTATATGTAATAAATAAAGGTCAAAAAGTGAGTTCTTAAGGTACATCCAAATCAATATGGTTGTTACATAAATTAATCAGGATTGGCACAAGTTGAATGTTATTCTATGACCTGGTCATGTTTGGCAAAATACCAAAGATCACTCCCAAAACTTTGGAGGGTGACAACTAGTATTTAGAATATAGATGACCTCAGTGGCTGATATAGCAGGCGTGACCCTTCCTGGTACATTACATTTCATTTATTTCATTTCATTCAAAAGAGTTAGCTGACTCCTTATCAGTTTAACCTTCTAAAGTAAACAATGGCATTGATTACTTTTCCCTGTAAGCTGCCAATTGGTTGGTAAATGCGCAACTGTCAGTCAAGGCCATCCTAGTTGCACAGGGTATCTTGCAAAATTACCTTTCTCCTGTCCTTCCAGTTTGCCTGTGAAGAATGTTCCAGATACCACTGAATAAAGAATCCCAAATACATCTGTAAAGTAACTTATCTTGATCAACAGAAATCAAAAGCGCTGTTAACTTTCACATCTTTCTGGGCATCCTGACTACTTTTGTTGTATATTCTGTTAAAAATTATTTAATGTAAATAATTTCATTATTAGGATAGACAGCTGTTTATTTGCAAATGCAAGGGAATGTTACCATCCCTCCCCATACTTTGTGCCTTAGATGGTTAACTGCTATATATTTCTGTTCACAACAAAGGACAGGTATAGAGAGCCTGTGGTTTTAGCAATGTCTGAAGGATAGTAACACCCAGAAGCCTATGTCTCTAACTGGGGCTGAAGCCAGATATATACATCTGGAAGGCCAGGAGTTCTCTACTATAGGTATAGAGGGAAAGAAGATGAAATGATCTAATCATGAGCTAATGGTTAATTAGCATTTCATTGGTTGTCTCCTTTCTCTAAAGTAAATATATTCTATAAATTTAACGGAAACTACTTATTTGAGGCTCAGGTGATTGGAAGCAGAGGGTAAGACTGGAGTGACCAAATAGCTAAGGTTCTTGCTAGGGACCAACTCTGCAAATTGAGTATTGCACCATTTACATCTCCCATCATATTGACAATTAAATGGAAATAATAGCAAGGCCTCTGAGATGCAAACTCCACATTTTCTGATTTGGATGGCAGTGGAAATTTAGGTTTAAACCCATTTGTAGATCCAAATGTTTTGGCTGGATTGATATACTCCCTTAATGGCATTATTACCGTACTAGATGGCTTGATGAAATTGCCTGATACTGTATTATATGAATGCAAGCATGAATATTATCAGGATTACAAATAAAGCAAGTTATTAAATACAGGAAGTCTTTAAAAATTAAGCAATATATCTTGGTACAATAAAGAGCTACGATTAGCTCCTCAGAATAGATGACTTGCCTATAGAGAAATAACTCTCAGGAATTATCTCATATTTAGGATGCTACAAGGTCCCGCTAACAAGTTTATGCACTTTCCTCTCTAAGTCCTATGAAGAGAGTTTGAAGGAGCGGGATATGTTTAACCCTGAGAAAAATCTGAGGGGGAAGATAAAATGATAACATACTTCAAATACCTGAAAGAAGGTCACATAAAATGGGGCAGGACCAGTTTTGTCTCATTCCAAAGGACAAGATTTTGAATAGTGGACTTATGTTACAAAAGGCAGATTATGAAGTGAGGGGAAAACCTTTCTAACTGTGCACTTTGACAGTGGAACCAATTATCCAGGGAGATTCCCCTTCATTGGTTATGTTTATTCATAGACTACAATCTCTGAATAATTGGTTGATTGTGGCTCATCTTGAGCACTATTTGTTTTCCTAAAGTATTCAGGAATCCTTGAAGAAAGTAAGAATCCTTGTTTTCCTTTTCTTGAACCCTTTTGTTGCCTCTACTCCAACTGATGGTCCTCAAGACTCTGGTAAAACGCAAAATAGAATGCATAAGCCTAAATCTGATTATTCCTCTTGTTCATAAATGTCCTGCAGAGAGCTTTACAAAATGACCGTCTGCTCCCAAACAGCTGCCATGCTGTTTACCCATGAAACACACCTGAACTCTGGATAAACCAATAAGGATTTAGTTTTATCAGTGATCAAATTGGAATGGAATTGGTTCTAACCCATCTGTGTCATTTTCACTGATATCAGTGGTGTGTGTGTGTGTGTGTGTGTGTGGGTGTATGTGTATGTGTGTGTGTGTGTGTTCAAAACTGGCAAGATTGCAATTGCAGAACTGCTATCTAAGAGATCAAGGCTACACATACACATACAAAGGGGTAAGGCTTTAATCATGAAGGTGGATGGCCTTTGACACCCTGAAGATGGCACTGGTCACTTTGGGGAAACAAAAATCTATTTTTGAGTCACAGTATATCATAGTATCAGGAAATGTCTGCATTAATACACATTTTTGCTTCATACTTATATAGCGAACTGTGCCTATCAATTAGAAAACAGAAACTGATTTAAGGTGCTCAATGCTCAACTTCCAAAATATTTTTAATTTTAATAACATTTTTAATTTTATTAAAGAGTACAATATACAATAAAAAAATGCAAACTACAAAAAGTAAAACATAAAAAACAAAAAGTAAAAAAACAGAAAAGAAAAAAATATTTAAAAAGAAGATAAAAAGGAACTCCTCCTTTTTCCCAGCAAGTATTAAACAACTTTAACAACTTATCACCAATTTTTCAAATACAACAATCTTTTAATCCCATCTCTCACCTCATTCTCTATAAACATATCTAAAACTCCTTGTCATCCACCGTAATCAGCAAAACTCTATTAAGAGTTACCAGAAATGACCACATCTGTTACACTTAATCTAATAAGACCACTTAATTTCCTTCTTTTCATTCATACCTCCTTTTCTATTTTTCAATTTTTTCTCCCAAACCTTATCCTTCAAATATATTCAATAAACAACCAAAAAAGCTACCAGAAATGTTAACATAATAATTCTAAATTTAATAAAAAAGATTTAAAATATAACAATCTTTTACCCACATAACTCTTTATTATTAACACAAACCTTAAAATATCATCTTTGGTCCTAATCAGAAAAGAAATTAAAAATTGTCAGAAATAGAAATCTTATTTTATTTATTTGTTTCCTAAATTTCTATGCCTAGGCAGCTTAGTCATTTAATAAAAATACCATATGAAACATTAAAATAATAAATAAAGACCATAAATTTAAAATTGTTAAAATTCAATTGACTAAGATAGAGGGGAAGGGAGCACAGTACACACAGGGAGGAGATGGGGTCTGTCTAATTCATTAACCTTCTCCTGAATGCCATTCTCCCATTGGGGCTCCAGGCAGAGGTTGTCAAACCCTTTTAGAAGCCCAAATAAGTCGGTGAGGATTTCACCTCAGTTGGGCACAGTGTTCCCAACTGCAGGCACCACGGCAGAAAAGGCTCTTCTCCTGGACCCCGCCAGCTGAAATTCCTTAACCAGCAGGATCCGCAGCATGTTGCTTCTTCTCAGTAGAGCAAAACCTTAAAAACCTTACAGTCCTAGTCAGAAAAAATCCATTAAAAATTATCAGAAATAACAATCCACTGTTTAACTTTGGCCTAATAACCCACCCTATATTGCTTCTCCTTACTCCCAAGGGGAGTAAGTCTTGAACTTAAGCCCCTAGAAATAATACAATACATTTTTTTTCATTTTGTTTTGTCTTTTCTCAAAAAAAAAAATCAAACACATCTCTTTTATAAATCCAATAAAAAAATTGTATATGCCACTTTTATGGTCTATTTTTGTCATGTCCTGTTTAATTATTAAAACATCAGCACACTTGGTTTATAGGTTCAGCATTTTGTTTTATATCTATCTTATCTTTTTCAGCTTCATATTTAAGTAAATTTGATACTTGTTGAGTGAAACTTGTTTCTCTTCCATTACACTCTCTAATTTTTCAATAATAGCAGAAATTTTTAAGGGTATCTTCTCAATCACTTACTACATACGTATACTTCTGGATGTATCAATTATATTATTTGCTTCTGATGGCTTCTAGGATCCAGTCTTCAAAAACCCAACTTACCATTTTTCCCAAAAATGCAAACATCCAGTTTCCCATAGAAAGGATTTTATAATTTATTTCAATTTTTTAATTCCAAATCCTTTAACTTTTCAAAAACAAAGCACTCAAAAAACATTGTTTGCTATATTCCAAAAATAATATTTTTCAAAGGACTTAGAATTGTATTTAAAACTTCTTTTACCTAGGAGAAGGAATTTTGCCCATTGAATACAGTAGAAACTTGTTGATCTCAACATTCTTAATATTTCCCCAAAGAATAAAAAGATAATTCAAGAAAAGATTAAGAAATGAGGTTTGGTCAAACTTTTTGTCCTTAAAAGACCATGTTACAATGGGTATGTCTAGTCTAACAAAGAGAAAGATTAAGGCTGATTGATACCAATCTTCCAAAGTTTGAAGGGCTGCCCCAGAGAGAAGGTGGGTCAACCTATTCTCCAAAGCACCTGAAGGCAGGACAAGAAGCAACAGATGGAAATTTATCAAAAAAAGATCTGACCTAGAATTAAGGAGAAATTTCCTGATAGTGGGAATAATTAACCAGTGCAACAACTTCCCAGAAGTTCTGGGTGCTCCATCACTGGAAATTTTTAAGAAGAGTTTGGACAGCCATGTGTTTGGAATGATATAGGATATCCTGTTTAAGCAGGGAGTTGGATTAGGAGACCTCCAAGGTCCCTTCCAACTCTGTTATATTGTTACTATTACTTTGATTCCCAACCACTCAACGACTCATAAACGGCCCACAAAACTATGGTTCCTGCAGTTTACTCAACAAGGACCAGCTTTTCTCGAGTGCATGTAATCTTTCCTTTCTCTGACAAGATTTTCGAAGTTCAGATCCAACATCCAACTGCTATCTCAGTCATAAATGCCATCCTCTGTCAACAGGACATCTAGCTCACCACAATGCTCACCAGAAGTCCCCCTCATTAGTCAAGTATTGACTTATGTTTTATAATGTTATTACAAGTTACATAAGAGAAATACAATGTCATCTAATAAAAGCGAGATTTCATTTTCTAGGGCTGGATCATTTTGTTATGTTGTATATCATATATTGGTTGCAATATTTTTGATAACACATTGTCTGTGCATAAGTAAGTTTCCTGCATTTCAATTCTTTCTGTTTTTCATTTGGAAAAAAAATCTCCTTGCAGATAACTTCTAGTTTGCTCCATGTTTGGATGGTTCTCTAGTTTAAAACTACATACATTCACCTGGTAATATTTAAGACAGATAAATTGTGAATAATGTTTAAAAGATGTATTTTGTAATGAAAATCCATTAGGAAACTGTCCTTATTTGCAGCTTTTTAAAAATCAGACTTAATTCAAATGTTTTGGACAATATCTGTTCAGTTTTTTTTCCTGTTCTGCCAGCTGTATTCTGTTATCTTGAATCTTATTGAAGAACTTCCTAATCAGAGACTCTTGTGTAACTCCTACCCTTGACACTCCTTATCTTATTTGTTATAATCTCTTGTTTGCTATATATAACATTGGTATTTCATCAGGAAAATCTCTTCCTTTCTCTTTTGTTGACTCTATGCATACGTGTCCATGCATATGTGCACACGCTATATATTGTTATATAACTTTTCCTTTGGGGTGTAAAATAACTCACACAGAAAAGTAGCTTTCTTTAATATGACTATTTGGAAATTATCTAATCCAAGAAGGATTTGGGTTATATTGTCAACTGGATTGCAAATTTGTTTTTAATAAATTTGTTTGGAATTTTAGAGCACTATATACATGTATTTTTTTAAAAAAATGATTTGATGCTGGACTTCCTTTGAAATGAGAGAAGAATCTTGGAAAAGATTAGTATAAAATAGAAAGAGATGGAGAAAAATGCATGTAATGTAATACTTGTGGCAGAAAATAATTATATTTGTTCCTCCAGGGTTCAAGAAATATCCATCTGCATCAGTGCTTCTCAACGTTTGTGTGACGGCGACCCCCGTCACACAAATGTGCCGCGCATGCACGGCACCGCCCCATGCACGGCGGCACCCCCATGCGCGGCACTGCCCCATGCGCGATGCCACCCCCATGCACGGCGCACATGCGCGGCGCCACCCCCATGCGTGGTGCCACCCCATGCGCGGTGCCACCCCCATGCACGGCGCACATGCGCGGCGGCGCCCCCCAAGGGGGAAAAATGGCAGATCGCCTTGTTTGACGACCCCTGAGAAATGGTCAATCGACCCCAAATGGGGTCGCGACCCATAGGTTGAGAACCGCTGATCTGCATAGAGTGAAAGGTCAGGCATGGGGAGCCGAAGAGGAAAATTCCCCCCCCCCACACACACACACATACACCATAGAGAAAAATTCCACAAGTAGACTCGCATATTCATTGGAGTTCACTAAACCTTAAGGAAGTATTTTCAAAAGAAAGCAAAAAATCTTAAAAGCTGGTGTCCACTATTAATCACATAGTCCAATGGTGAAGAGACCATGCTAGAAATCAGGAAATCATGAGTTCTAATTCTGCCTTATGTATGAAAGCTGTCTGGGTGACTTTGAGCCAGTAGCTCTCTCTCAGCCCAACCCACCTCACAGGATTGTCGTTGTCAAGAAAATAGGAAGAGGAAGGAGTATGAAGTACATACATTATCTTGAGTTTTTTTATAAAAAATAATAAAGGTGGGATAAAAAAACTCTAAATAAATATATGCTTTAGTCTATGTCTTGCAATCTGTTTAAATCATTTGACATGTGATTATTGTCCAGCATCTGCCTGTAAAATAACTCAGTATTATTTTCTGAATACTAGCATGCTATAAGTGCTCATAATATCAAAGGATGCAAAATTGTTTAATGTCTCAATACAGAAATAACCTTTAACGTGAAGTGCTTTTGGAACAGGAGGCAGCCTGTCTATGCCATTTCATATCTTCTTAAAAATTGTTTCTGCTTCTTGAAGGTAAAACTTAACAAAGGCTCCCTGATGTTTTATCGTTTCAGATACACAAGAAATCTTGTAGATAAAGGAAATGGAAAATTCAATCTGATGATCTTATGCTGGGGAGAAGGCCATGGCAGGTTTGTAATTAAGAAGATACTAATGGTCAAAATTCTGTGGATGCGATTTTACAATGTGAATACACTTGAATGCACTCTGAAGAGAATGTTATTTATGTTGTAACTTATCAATAGATTTTTAAAGTCCACCTTTCCAACATATTTATAATTTTTAAATTCACAGATCAAAACCAAATATGCAACAGTTATCAATGACCATGTTTTTGTATACCTGATTACTTCTAATGGTCACTGGTTATTTGGTGAGGCTTCATTAGTGCTTGCTGGTTTCTCTTGAAGAAGATTTTGTTTTTCCGTAAGAGTATAATGCATTCGGCCTGCATTAGTTAGTCAGAAAAGATAGAGCTTGCTTTAACTTCAGGAAAGCAAATGAAGATGTGCTTTGTTTTCTGCCCGCATTCAACAACCACCAAGATTAATCCAAAAGAAGACCATGTTTTATAATGCTGCTATTTTAAGTCCCCATCTCCAGAACCGAGACTCTTAATACCACTTCTCATAAGAGAATAATTACCAAAAAGGTGGCTCAAAAATACAATCTCCCCATACACACGACACATTTTTTCGCAATTTTGTGATTTCTAGAAATTTTGCACACTTATTCATGTGTTTTCTTGGCAACAGTATATAAAGGGTTTTCCATTGCCACCTTCCGGACTTCCAGGTCTCGGTCCCTCATTCTCACCCATACAAATACCAATCACACCTGACCCCTTTCAGCTTAACTGAGATCAGACATAACTTTTTTTAGAAAAAGAAATAAGCATCAGTTATAGAACTTCTATTCCTGGAAAGGCAACCCCCCCATTTTTTAATATTTAATTTAGAAGCATTTTTTGTTATACTTTAACATTATTTGCGTATGACTTCACAAGTGAGCCAAGAACTAGTCTATGAGTCCTGTCCATGCATACCATATTGGAGAATGGGGAGGATTCCTTTATAATACAGTATTCATTCCCCCTTCATCCCATTTTTATTCTAACTGTAACTGTCCCAAATTGTGGGTATTAAAGAAGATTAAGATCACCTAATTCTAGCATTTTAAGAGCGGGGCAATAAGAACAAGAGGCCCAGCATCACATTTGATACTAACACTGACACAGTCAGCTGTGTACAAGATCCTCTAGGAGCCTGAAGAATGCGCTTCTCCAGAACCCAGTCCACATAATGTGGTTATATGATTGTCTAGTGTGCAGTGATTTCCACATGGGTTCACCACTAAAAATCATATACGTAGGAATATCACCAAATTATGGTACACATCAAATGCTGGTGGACATCTGGATTCCTTCATAAATGTTCATCCTATCCCTGCAATCTTCAGTGATAAGCTTTCACTGCCAGCTACAAATGACAAAAACAGGGTGAGCATTGCAAACATATGTTATAAGTGGTTTTATAGCTTAGCCAAAAATAGTTCTTGAAAACAGCTTGTCATTTTATTTCTGGTTTTTGCAGGACTGCTATCTTGATTGCTTTTGTCAGAACAAGCTGCTTTAGCACCACTTGGTGACTTCTTTCTTTGTACTTTACTACAATGGTAGCAGGGTTTTCATTGCTCTGACCAGCCTCTATAAGATGGCTCCAGGGTTTGACTGAAAGAGCATTGTGTTATGATGGCTACTTAAAACCAGAGTAGAATACTTCTCTTATTCCTTCTCCACCCCAGTTTTTTCCTTCTTTTTTTTCAATCTGCCAATATCTCTCTGAAATGTTGGCAATGTGGCAAAGGATAACGTATCCCTTTTACGTGCAAGAATGGCTTGGAATCCTGAGATCCTGAAATAACAGTTGTTCTCAGCTCTCAGGCCTCTAGGGCAGACATGTCAAACTCACGATGTCACATGACATTGTACGACGTATCGGAACTTTCCCCCCATTGCCAGCAATGGGGTGGGTGCAGTTTCCTCGTGACGCGTCCAGCCCACGGGCCGGCACTTTGACACCCCTGCTCTAGGGCAGCTATGCTGGCTCAGGAATTCTGGGAATTGAAATCCACAAGTTGTAAAGTTGCTGTAGTTGCCCATCTCTGCTCTATGGTAAAACTGGTTTCCATGACATGGAAGGATAATGAGCTTTGTAAGACAGAAAAGGTCCTGCTCTATTTTTTAGCTCGTTCCTTAGTTAATAAGAAACAGAATAATACTGCTTCTGGTTTGTTTTTTATTTGTTTTGTTTTTCTGGAATATATGCTATTAATTTTGGAAAAGTATTGTGGATCATTTCTACTTTAGTTTGCACCCATTACATTCCTGTTAATCCTTATACTAGATCAGATCAGAGCAAGCACACGATCACCCAATTCAGCTGCAAAAATATAGCTTGATGCTTACTTAGCAGCAAATATTGAAAACAGTAAACTGGCAAGACTGTAATAAAGGCTGGCAAAATAGAGAGGGAGACGTGAACCACAAGCAAACAAAATTTATATTGTCTCAATTATTTATCAAAAGACATAGAACTTTCCACTGGAAACAGTATACTGGGGAATTAGCATGGACATTCTCAAACCAAGTGACCGACTATTGCAGCCTTATTTCCATTCCAGAGATGGAAAGTAGGATACCAAGTGATCCCTCTTCTATTCTGCATGTGAAGAAAACCATTTTGTGCATATTGATGGTATACACAGCAATTACAACCATATTCACAATTTTTTCCATCACATTTATGGCCAAAATTGAGGGATTACAGGTACTTGGGTGTTAGAAAGATTATTTAGCATGATGTTCTGCTGGGAAGCTGCAGTAGTGTCTAGTAAATTTGCTTACAAATTTGCTTGTAGTCAAATGCATTTAAGGTGCCAACATCGCTTAATACATTTCAGTCCCTTATAAGAAAAGTAGGACTCTGAGAACACTACTGTTGATAAAATAGTAGGGCAGTGAGATCTGTAATAGTAAATCTATGGGTAAGAGTTGTTTCTACATAGTTTAACACTGTTTCCAAACCTAAATATTGGCTGTCTTGGTTCTATTTCTGTCCTAGCCTCTTTGAAATATGTGTATTTTATAACCTACTTTATTTTTTTCCCCCTTAACTGTGTTGCACAATATAAGTACGTGGCATTTATTTTCTATTGCAAAACAGACAGAGAAAACAAATACTGCCAAATTGGTTTTTAATAAAAAAGATGTGCAAACATATCATATAAGTACTAACACTCAGAAATATAGCATTAATAATGGTAGATCTTAAAGCATATTAGGAAGCTTGCAGGACAAAAATTTTATAACTAGCATATAAATAAGGATGCCTGTATGAAAGAAATAATTGCAGACTGAGTTTACAATTGAAGGGTCAGTGTAAAACAGTGGTTCTCAACCTTTCTAATGCCGCAACCCCATAATACAGTTCCCCATGTTGTGGTGACCCCCAACCACTTATACATCACTGGGTGCCAGGGGCGTGGCCAAAGAAAAGGGGGAAAAATGGCGGACAGCCTTGTTTGGCGACCCCCGTGAAATGGTCGTTCGACCCCAAATGGGGTCCCGACCCACAGGTTGAGAACCACTGGTGTAAAATTTTATTTAAGTAAAGAAAAAAGTAAAGATTGCATCTGAACTGTCCACTTTTGCTGAACTATAGTTCCCAACACCCTCACCATGAATCATTTGGTTGGGATACTGGGATTAAGAGTTTAGCTTGGATATTGAAAGTTGGCTGCTTTGGAGCATTGTAAAGATAAGACTTGTTCGAACAGAACTCAACCCCTGGTTAATTCAGAGATATGTCTGTAGTTTTCTTGGCAACAAGGAATAACTGGTTTTCCAGGGTATTTCCCCCCCCACACTTCTCAGTCTAATTTACAATTCTGGAATTTCCTGGCAATCTGCAATCCAAATACTAAGCAGGCCCAAGCCTTGCTTAGCTTTTCCAAATCAGCCAAAGATGGTGGTTTATTGCTGTTACCTAACTGGATTAGAACATTATATTCATGATAATTGAATTTGTAGGGCATGTTACGCCGTGCAAAACAGCAATTATTTTTGTTTATTGCCAATGTGCTGTCTGGGAATTCTGGAAATAGCATTTTAACTCTTTGGAAAATGCCAAATTGTGGAAAATTGATCTAGTATATAACACAGACACACACACACACACATACAACACATCTTACAGCAGGGGTTCCCAACCCGAGGTGCAAGATGATATTCCAGGGGGTGTGAAAACTTAGGTTTTCAAAATTACAGTGTATATCCATAATTCGTTATTTTAAACTTTTGTAAGGGGTGTGAGAATATATTAGAAGTGTTCTAGGGGTGCGGGGTATAGAAAAGGTAGGGAGCCGCTGCCTTATAGGCATCAATCTTTCTGACTTTATGCATTTTTTGAAATCTCTGTTTTTGTAGTAGTATCCATGATCACACAGATTCACACTGTTTTATGAAGCTACTTCAAGGAAACCTAAAGGAAACTTTGTTTGAGTGGCCTGGCAAAAAGGGGACTGGAGAGATGTTAAAAAAATCAGAAAGAGTGTTAAAGAGAAATCAGTGTGCCTATATTAATGGTAAGTCATTTTGCTTTGGTATTTTTAAATTTAACATTACTTTCCCCAATAGTGATCTATCATTAAAGTTTAATTTTTTATGGTATGGTAAAAGTCATGACATGGTGCTTCTATGATTTTTTGGGAAATAACCTTATTTTTCCTGCTTCTGTAAATGACTTGTTTGTTTTGCTTGCTTATTTATATATACATACGTGCATGCATGCATGATTTTTATTCCATAGCCTTCAACAGACTAAGGGAAGTTCATTTAATCTCCTTACAATTTTAACAGTTTACTTCCAACAGAGACCAACTGACGTGGCATCTACTGACAGCTTGGTAATTCAAAAAGGTCTTATTGATATCCCAACTGCCATCAAAACCATTGCTTAGTGCAAGGAACATAGGTTGCCCCTCTGCCGATTATTCATTTATCACTGAGTCATCTCACCTTCTCTTTTCCTTTGGCATATTTTGTCTAGTAATATTTATTATGATTCAGCTCTGTTCTCTAGTCCTAGAGGACAGGAGTGGAACAGGAGATACTGCTTGATCCTCCCAAATGCTGCCAATCTCACTCTTGTAAAAAAAATAAATAAATAAAAAAATGGGGAAGATATAGGAATCCCAGAATTGTTGCATCTTTACGACAGAGACATACCCTGTGAATTCCTAGCTTGTCCTTAAAAAAAGCCCCCCTTCATTTTGCAATATTGGCTATTACCTAGGGAAAAGAAACTTCAAAGATTATATTTTCTACCCTGGACAGCATGTTACTATATAGGGGAAAAAGATGATTTAATTGGAGACAAAATTGAACTGATTTTTAGAAAATAACTTTATTGACAACAAAACAAAACAGAGAAAAGAGAATATGTTCAGTTCATGTTAGTACACCATTGTTTGAATATTTTTCTAACTTTGGAGACAAGATAGAGGATAGATAGAAAGAACAACAGTTGAAAATACACCAGTCCTTAATTTAAAATACTGACTAGATTTCCTTTCCTAACAGCTTGTAATTTTCCATCATTTTTTTCTCCAGAAAGCTAAACTATTTCTTTCTAATCTGTGTCATTTTGACTTACTGTATACATAATAACTAAAACGTTGGATTCTATATAATTTTGATAGCGGGGATTTCAGCCAGAAAACAGAAGACCGTAAGTTTTCATTTGACCTTAAGCATGAAGGGCCAGTCACTCTCTTTCAGCACAACTCACCTCACAGGATTGTTGTTGTGGGAAAAATAGAAGGAGGAAGAAGAATTAGGTACATTTGCCACTTTGAATTATTTGTAAAAATAATAGAGAGGGGATAAAAATATTTAAAAAGATCAGTAGTTTGATCCCAGAGATTATCTTCCTGTCTCATAATAGCTACCTAATATTTTTAATAAGCTTTCACTTACCTTGCTGCTACTAAGTTTTCCTTATCTTCAAACCACATAATTTTCCATTACATTCCTGAGAGTTGTCTTCAGTTTGTTTTATTTGTTCTGTTTGTCACAGTGTTTTTCCTTTCTCCCAAGCTGTCGTCTTATCTACCTCTGGCCATCCATAAAACATCCATTTCTTTTTTAAAAAAATATTTCCCTTCAAACCATCTTTCAGCTATATGGTTGCACAAATTACATGCTTACAGTAGATGTTGAACGTTGCAAATTATCTGTTCTTTAAGTTTAGAAAACTTTGTTCTGCATGGCCATATTCTTAAATAATAAAGAAAACTAAACCATTCCTGACTAAATTAGAAGCTACTTTTGGTACTAGGCACTTCTGGGTCACTGTCCCTCCATTTGTTTAAAATAACAAAAAAGAAAATTATGTGACTCCATATCTGTAGATATACAATGGCAGGTTTAGTATCTTCTTTCTCTCCAAGTAGAGGAAAAATGGGTGCCTAACCTTTCCTGTTTTTCCTGGCCATTTTACTTTCCTGGCTTGGTGCTGGAATTCAGAAGAAGAGGCTAAGCTTGAGCTAACCTTCTCTTCCAACTCCAGATGCAAATGAAATCCAGGTTAATGAAATCTTCTTAATATCTGGCATTTGACCTATATATCATTGCTTAAAGTCCTTTACATCAGTTAGCCATGAAGCTAGACATGACACTTTCTAATTTTTTGGCTTTTTTCCTCTCAACTTTGTCAATCTGTACATACCAAGAAGGATGTCCTGGTAGTACTACGTACTTTTCAACCAAGTATTGTGATTTAAGAAATGCTAACACCATGTGCATATCAAAAGAAGGAACCCATAACCATATTCCAGTTCAGCACCAAATATCTTTCTGCCAGCTGGATGACACTGAGACAGCTATATGTGCATGGTGTCCAAACTAAATAGACCCCTTGCTGCTATTCTGGCAGTCAGAAGAGGAGAAAATGTAATTTCTTTTGATGCACAGGTCTATGAAAACCTTGAAAAAGGTAGCCAGGTTCTCTGCTGCTAGCTTCATTCAAACACCGATAGTTTAGGTTCTCCATCCCCAAATACACATTCCCTTTCCCTGAAAAGACTGATCATTTGAGCATCTTTTGATAACTTTGAGGTTTGTTACACTTTATTTTATGTATGTGTATGCTCGCTTTGGATATTTATTTTATCATGTTTGTTTGTGACAGTAAGTAGCTAATCAATATATATGTTTGAATACAAGTTGAAAATAACAGGTTCCTTCCTAATCTGAATATTTGGATTCATATGGCCAGCTGAGATTGCTGTTGACTTGATTAAATATCGTGTGTGAGCGCTGTCAAAGACTTTAATACATACATTGTTTTTCTTTTCTGGCATTTCTTCCCATTCAAATTGCAGTTTTATATAATAAGAATAACTTCTGTTTCTGCAATTTTCCCTCAGTGCAAATGTACAGCTCCTGAAAAAATGACCTACCAAACAATCCAATGACAGACAACAAGTAAAAATGGCAACTGCCAAATAAATGTAATCCAGCCACATCTCCCAGTGCTTTGTGTGGTTCTTTATCTATCTGTCTATCTGTTTTTTTTTTATTTTCATTTTTTAAAAAAACCCATAATAGACTATTTTAGGATTGAAATCATTGTAAATAGACTTAGGAAGCCATTCATTGCTCTTTCACCATTTTGTCTTCAATTTTTTAAAAAAATGAGATGGAGTCTTTAAAGTGCTCTTTTGCGGAGCTGGTCTATGTCCAGAAAGGAGCACTGTCTTTCTAGATTTGCATGACACAACGTGATTCAGTAGTATAAACTTCAGTTACTCCAGAATACTTTGCTGGGAGTCCAATGCCGATTAAAAAATAAACTGGGTTCCTGGATATGCATGCTAGGCCTTTGAAAGACCTATTTAAATATAGCGTGTTAATAAAGCAGCGGGTGAAACTGTCACCTAGTGGGCTTCATGGAAGGGTGGAACTGAGAACTTGGGATCTGCCCAAGCTAACTGCTGCACTGCATTGATTTGTTATTCTTTGTAGACTCCATTGGTTTGCATCGTGTGGAGAACCCAAGCCATACCGAAACAGCTGTCAGTCTCCACTTGTACAGTCCACCTTTTGAAATCTGCCAGACCTTTGATCAAAGAACTGGACATAAGCAAAAAGTTAAAATGACGTTCTATAGTCAGTTTGGAGAAAGGACTCCATATGTAAGTATCACTATGTGTCTTGTCATTTGTGGTTGTGCTGAGAGAAGCAATGAGAAAGCAGCCAGGAAAAATACTGTAACCATGGTTAGACAAGGATATTAAAAACATAATAAGCTTCAGAATTATTGAAGAGGAAAAAAAATACACACTGGATTTATTATAAAAGTTTATATTTTGACCTTTTTCATTACTAAAAAATAACTTCCAAATAGAAAATATTGTACACATTCAGGATGGCCCGTCTTCATTTGAACATTTCATATTGCAACTCTGTATATATATTTTTAAAGGAGAATAAAAAAAAGGAGGGTGCCCTTTGAAAAAAGAACAAAATATTGGAACTTGGTAAATCAGAATAGGCTAGTGTCCTTATTCCAATGTGGTTCCCTCAGGACAGACATTTGAAGAAAATTGAATTATGCAGTTCTTTGCCTTCAGTGTTAAAAATGCTGGTCTGCATGATAGCCTTTGAGAAATGTCTCAGCTAAAAAAAGAATAAAACCAATTATTATTAACCATTATTATTGATAGTAGTTTAACACTAATAAATGATGATAATTATATATTTTTAGGTATTTCACAAATCAATTCCACTCCCCCTTATATGAAACAAGCAAATTTGTTTTATATCTCAGGAAATTATTGGAAAACGTAATAATACTTAATGCTACATTTTTCAGTCATACAGTTATTTAGAATTTCATGCCACAGAGACCATCTGCTTCATTTAAAATAACTGAAAACTCTCAATTTATCTCTTTCTTTCTTTAGACTTCAGCAATTTCTCAAGAGAACAACTGAGAAGCACAAAACATACCGACATATATTCTTTTATTTTCTTAGAAATTGTTTGAGCAAGAGCAGAAGGATTATGTGGCTAATGCCAGTATCAAGCTGTATCTTTATGCAGGACTACATAGCTGTCCTATATGAAAAGCAGCTTTTTAGCTATGATTCTTTCTTTCTCTCTCTCATACGTAAACACTAAAATGCAGAATATAGAAGATTCTTGCAGACAACCAACAAATATAAGAGCATGGGGCGGGGAGCAGAATGCCTCTGATTAATTCTAAGACTGTGCACACAAACATTGTACTTAGCAGGCCTTCAGAATGAATGTACACTACTTAAACTAATTTTATAACTTGTCAAACTCCACTCCATGTTCACATTAATTCCTATCTAGTGTATGCTTTATGATGCAAAGATAATTCTTTTTATCACGGATGTAATAATTTGTTGGAATTTTAATTGTGCATTTTAAAATCTAACGTGGAAGTACTATCTTTTTTAGTAAAAGCAATAAAGTGTGTCCTGTACAATGTTTTATTCAGAAAAAAAAGTGTCTGTGATTAAGTTAAGGATGATGAAAGGGCTCAACTGTTAATGTTTCAGTTGGGTTGTATTATTAAAACCTGTCCAATTCCTTAATAAAACTGATTTATAGACACACTTCTACTATTAAATTATTTTTTTAAAAAATATAGTGTTAATGATGAATTTGGTCCACAGAAACTGGTCAATATTTTTGTTAGACCCAACCATTACTAAGGACAAGGGGAGAAAGAATAGTGATTTTTATTTTAATTTTTTTCTGAATCTGGGATGCTTATAAACACCATATCTAGCACTAGAAACTAAAATGCACCGAGCAAGTATTCCATTTTTTTCTTCAACAGAATTCTTTCTTCTGACAAAAAAGATTTGGTTGATTTGCTAATTAAAATTGGAACTCTCTTTAACAGAACAAAGACCATGTACTTGTGCAGAATCTGACAGCAATAACTTGGGAGTTCACTTCAGTAAACTACTGGTAGTAGAGCTTATATTACATAAATGTGCAAAAATAGAGTTGGGGATACTTTCTTCCTAAATTATGTTCACTTCAGTGACATTTGTATAGTTCCAATAAAATTCAAGGCCAGAGTTACTGAATGTTACAACGGTTCTTATTTTAGCAGCTTATCATTGTAGCTGTACTAAATGTCATGGAAGCTACTTTCAAAATTTAATTATTTATATAAATTATATAACACGGAGCTTTCAAGGCTCCAGCCCAATAATTTAAATAAGAGTATGTATGTATAAATGTGTGGATGTGTGTGTGTGGCAGGTCGAGCACTATATAATCATAAAATAATATTATAAAAGTCAATCAAGAACGAGTTTGGTATAGCGGTTAAGGCACCAGCTACAAACCAGACTCTGATTTCTGCCTTAGGCACATAAAGGCTCTTTCTCTCTCAGATTTAGGAAGAAGGAAAAGATAATCCTCTTCCCAAAATGCTGCCAAGAAAACTGCAGAGAGTAGTCCAGGCAACAGTGACTCAAAGGCACACACAGACACAAAAGTCAACTACCTACATGAAACAAACCATTTTGTGGAAAACAATGTGAGTGCCTCCTCCCACTTTGGAGATAAAGTCTTCTATAACAAGGAGGGCACTATACAGAAGGATTGTATAGGAGTCCACATCCCTTTGATCTTTCCTAGTATGGGGCCCTTAAGCATGGGATCCTACTCGCACAAACGGAGACCATATTTAAGTTAATGGATTGGTTCTAGGATGACTCTAGGTAAAGTCAACCCAAGCTTGTTGTAGCCTGCAAATTCAGGATCAGGATTTCCATACATCTCTAATTTGGGCAGGAGGTCATTGTAAAACTGAGAAAAATCAGCATATTGATGATACTTTACTCAAAATCAATTGATGACCTGTACCAGTGATTTAATATAGATGTTTAAAAAGGGCAATGTGTTGTGTGCTACAAGACTCTATATTAGAGTACTCATAGGTTTGACTTCATTTCCCATTGCTTCAGCCAACTGAAAGAAGTCATTAGGGCAGAACAGATGAAGATAGCAAGAGCAAGAGCGCTTATGCTTACAGTATATGCCGCTTCATAGTGCTTTGCAGCACTCTCTTAAGCAGTTTAAAATGTCAACATACTGGCCCCAACAATCTGGGTGTTCATTTTACCAACCTTAGAAGGATGGAAGACTGAGTCAACTTTGTGCCGGTGAGAATCGAACTGCTGGCAGTCAGCAGAATTAGTCTACAATACTGCATTCTAACTATTATGTCACCATGGCTCTTATTTCAAAATTTTAAAATACATAGGAAGTAACAGTAATTATATTTACTTAAAATGTGTAATTAACCATATTTAGTTCAAGTGCATCAGATGCCAAGAATAAACCATAAGAATAGCTCTATATTTAAACACATATTGACAGAAGTAAATTATACTTCTTTTTGGTGAATTATGCATATCAGTCTAATGGGATTTTTGCTTCAAGTAGAGGTCATAGCAGTTTTTCCATACTTTCAAAGTTGTTTTTAGTAGCATTCAGACACAGGATAGAAAGACTGTTTCTGGAATGTGTGCTTGATATCCTGAAGAATAAAACTATTCTTTCATATGAGAATTGATTATGCAGTATGGTTACGCAGAATTGATTATGCAGTAAGTTGCTAATTCACCTTTTCAGATAGATAACTCACTGTGGCTACTTACTTACAAAAGATGCTGCTAAATGATGTATCTGTTGTTAAACCATGTATACTTTATTGAATCTACCTATCCGTGATATAAAATGGTCTCAACGATTGCTGATGAAAGGAGTAGGATTTGGTCCTTCAATATTTAATGAACCTGCAACTTTAAGTGGAGAAGGTGTTGGGAATAGTTCAGAAACTTTGGAGGGTCACTAACTGGTCACTTTGAATGTCAGCTTCCAGTACACAATCTGTAGCCCCACAAAGTCTTCATCGTGTCCCCCCAAATTCAGCTACCAAATTCTAAAGTTTGATACAAGGGAAAAATAAAAAATACATGGGAAGTAATGGTAATTATATTTACTTAAAATGTAATTAACCATATTTAGTTCAAATGCAATTACACTTAATTTAAATGTAATTAAAATTAAATTAAATTATTTCTTTGTCCAATATTTAAAAATATTGTGTAGCCGTGCTATAAATTCATCTACTGTGAATTTACAAGTAAATGTAGATCCTAATTCCATCACATACTGCTGGTTGCCTCATATGGAAGTGAAAAGGAGGTGTTTCCTGAGAGGGAAGAGTGAAGAAAGTCAGGAGTCTATGCCAAGAGTGAATAATCCCACCAGGGTCATACAAGGCATGAAGCTCATCCCAACAGCCCAACTAAAACAGGCACTTATACTGAGCAGCAGTTATATGGAAGATTATCACTATAGTGTAATGGAATGTGTGCATGGCCTTAGCGAACAAGAGGAAGAGATGCTACCTACTAAACAATCAGACAAGAGAGACAGCCACTTAGAAAGGACCCACCCTAATGGATCAAGCAGTTAAAACTGGCAATGGCAAATTTATACTTTCAGTTTTGCAATAATCTGTTAATATAACCTTACAATAAAGTAGAATTAATTCATCTAGTTGTGTTTCCTGCCTGGTTTACCTGGGAGGGCTGACAGCAGTGGCCCAACAATTTCCTGTTACATAGGACAAGGTAATGGTAAACCACCCATATATGTTACCGAGAAAAACACAATGATTGATAATATAAAGTGGTTGATATATAATGCTGAATGATGGGTCACTCAAATCAAAAATCATTCAACATGCTGCTGAAGAAGAGTTGCAGAACTTTCAGAATCCTTCTAGTGTTTATGTTCTGGCTAGATTAAAACCTTCAGGATGTCTATTACAGAAGTTGCCCTGCAAATATAGACAATCCAAAACTGCAAAGACAGAATTACAAAGGGGATACAAAACATAAGAAGTATGAACACAGGAAAGCGCAACACAGTGAAACTGCTATCTTAAGCCTTAGCAAATTGAAATGGACTGGAATTGAACACTTTCAGTTAGAAGAGTGTTTACCCAGGACATGCAATACAAAAAAGGAATGGCATTGTTTTCATAAGCAGGAAAGATATAGTAAGAACACTAATTGGGTACAATGTGGTGCAGTGACTGAGCAACATTAATTAAACTGCACAGACAACCTTTTAATGTGACAATTATCCAATTTTATGCTGCAACCACCGATGCAAAGGAACAGGAGGTTGACACGTTTTATAGTCACATTCAAACTGATATTGACAGAACGTATAAGCAAGATGTGTGCTTATGGCTGGAGACTGGAACGCCAGTATTGGAAATATTGAGGAGGAAAATGTAATTGGAACAATGTGGATTAACAAACAGAAGTGAAGTAGGAGCATAACTAATCCATTTCTACCAATCTAATGGTTTCTTAAATGCTAACACATTCTTAAACAACCAAAGCAAGTCCTGCAGTATATACATGGACATTGCCAGACAGAAATCAGATTAATTATATTACAAAATACAAGGGGGTAGAAGTGATAATAACAAAGACATGAGCGGAACTTAACTAGGGAATGTATTGTGAATTGTTCATGTGCAAGTTTCAAGTTAAGCTAAAGCGGAAGGAAAAAACCAACCACCGTGTACCACTATTTTCAAGGAGAACATCAAGAATCACTTTGAGTTCCTGAACCTCATTGATAGGGAATGAGAGGAATTCTGGCATGAGATCAGAGAAGCTGCTAAGGATGAATGTGAAAAGAGATTGTTAAAAATTAAGGTAGAGACAAAAGCAAGCTGGATTGCAGAACAAAGAGTGAAACCTGCAAGACGAGAAGCCAAAGCCAAGAAAGACCTCAAAAAGGAACATAAAGAATTTCAGAGAACTGTTAGAAAAATCAAGAAACAATATTACAATGACATCTATAAAGACACTGAATAAGGAAACACGTGGCAAAAACTCACAGGGCAAAATAAGGAAAGTTTTCCAACAGATCTCCTAAGTGAGAAGCAGGTTCCAACCTTGAATTAGTATGTTAAAGGTTGCCTATGGACAGACAATCAAAAGGAATTTGGTAGTACCTTTTTTGACTAACAAATGCTATTAAAAGATAGATTTTTGTGAGCTATAGCCACCATAGACTAACATGGATCACAATGCCTACAATATAGAGATATTTAATCTTCTTTGATTCTAAAATCAAAACAGATGGAATCAGTATATGCCAATTCTGTACAATAGAGATATCAACATGCAAGTTATCTTAGCAATTATCTTAGCAATTATTATTATTTCCTATTTACAAGAAAAATTGGTACAAGAACATGAAGCTACAGTAGATCAGTGCTCTGGTCATGACCAAGTCAAAAGGAAATGATGGAACACCAGAAAGAATATGACAAGCAACAAAAGAATATGCAAAGTGTTGCGTCCTTGGCGGGAAAACAGACACGAGAAGCAGCTGGAGTTCTCAGTTTCTTTTATTCAGCGTTCAGCTTACAGGAAGATGGCTTCAGCCTCGCCCAAACGCCTCGCAGCCTCTTATATAGGCAACTCCCGGGTAAATGGGTTACTTTTCCCGCGCCAGCACCCGCGCATGCGCACGGCGCTGGCGACAGCCTGTCTGGTCCCGGGCAGCTTTGCACCTGCCCGGGACT